CTTGAATTCTTAACTGATATTTAACATCCCTAGTCCAGGACCATCCATGCGCTTGCTGGACCACTCATGTTGCCAGACCAGAGAGTCCCAGTTTTGGGAGGTCCAACCTGTAGCTGCAAGGAAGCAATTACATAGCCTCAGTTTCTCCAAGATAGATTTTAGTTAAAGCTTAAATAAAGAGATCTAGAAAACTATACACAAAAAGCTATTTTAAAACATGTTCAAGGAATTGACTGAAGTCCACAAAATTCTTTGAAGTCTCCTATTAAAATGTTCCCTCTGCCAATTATCCTTATGTATTGTAAGTGGAAAAATGGCAATTCATATGGAATGAAACTATAGGAAGGAATGTGAGATGTAACTGAATTTAAGGTGCTTGCAATACAACTCAGTGCACATAGAAAACTTCAAAAGGTTTCTAAGTGTATTTTTTATAGTTTTTCATTAATGGGGCAGAGGTTGTCACATGTAGTACTCAAAATAATTACATGCTTCTTGACCCTAATAGAAACTTATACAAACTTAAAATGCAGACAGCAAATTGTGTATTATTGAATATCAAGCCAGATAAGCTGAAGACCTGGAATAAACCCCAACAATCAGTTACAGTTTCTCATTCACACCATTTTCTAGGGATATAGAGACACAGAGAGAAAAAGATCTTGTACAAAACAACACTCAAACTCAAATCTCAGACTTTGAAGCAACTGGTCTTAATGGGGCAAAATCATATGAGAATGTGGTTCCAATACTCTATGAATTTGGTATCTTCAAAGTCATTAAAGGTCTAACAATATTACATAAATCAGGGATTAGGTGCACAAATCATATTTCAGCCAGTGCTGTAGAGTATACTTAATATACTTAAAAAGATTCAGAGAGGTAGTCATGTTAGTTTGTAACTGAAAAACTTAAAGAACAGTGAATGTCCTGCAGCACCTTAGAGACTAACAAAAAATATATATAGTATCATGAGTTTTCATGGTCACAACCCACTTCTTCAGATGTATACTTTGTAAGTCTCCTTAGAAGCAACTAAGTTTTATGGAATATCCGTACTACATAAGAAAGGAAGAGCTGGTTCACAGCAAACAGATTAACATCTACACTGTTGAAGAAAGTGTATGTATATTATATAAACACACACACACCTTAAACAACTTATATCTTCCGAAAAGATTACTTAAAAAGATCTCAATAAATTGCTTCAAAGATGACACATAATAAAATTATCAAGATTAGTAATGGCCTCAGAATAGTGTATACAAAACATCTTAAAATATCTTGTTTGAGAGATGCATAGCATATAATGGTATTGTTTTTACTTATACTGTTTTACTCACTGAATACAGCAGTTAACAAAAGTAAACGATGAGAATCAGAGCTTCAAAGTTTAGATGCAAACAAGTTCAACACTTGGGTTTGAACCCATCTTTATGCAAAAACAAACTCGTCTAAAGCCTTAATATTCCCGTCCAGAAGACTGGAATTAGTTTTCAAATCCAAACTTAAGCAAAAAGTTGCTGAGCATCTGCACCTTCCATTCACTTCAACTAATGAGTGGCAAAACAAAACATAGTAATCATCTGAAGAAATGAGTTGTGTCCACAAAAGCTCATGATACTACCTCTATTTTTGTTAGTCTCTAAAGTACTGCAGGACCATTAGTATTTTTTAAGTTTTTTTAGCTCAAGACTAACACAGCTGCCCCTCAGAGTTTTAAAAATATGGCAGATATTTTATGAATACCTCGGGAATGGAGGTTGTTGATAATTCTAAACAATACGTTATGGTTGTTCTTTCAAAATTAAACATTGACTTAATGCAACTTTGAATTTTTACTATGCAGGGGGGAAATGCTGCCCCCCCCCACACACATTTTTTAACAGTTTACATTTAACAGTACAGTACTGTATTTGCTTCCCTGAGGGGCTGCTGTCTTATTTGTGTACTTTCAGATCCAGATGAGGTGTGCGTTTGTTCAGTTCACAACTCTCAGGTTCTATTGTACATCCTAATTATGGTCCATGCATTTCCATAATTTACTTGCTGAAAAAGCAAGAAAATCCTGACAAAACATCTCACTCCAAATTCTATGCTCAAACTGAAAACTCAAAACTTGGAATATTGCCAGACCAACTAACAGCACAACAGCGATCCCAGTGAGAACAACTGTAAAATCCAAAAACGGAACTGAGGTTTGAGGAAGTGTGTGGGGAGTGAGGTCAAAATACTACGGTACATATGATACCTTGGAAAGTCACAGCCACATGTTGTAACATTGATTTTTAAAGCACAACTCCCCTTGAAATGAATAGGGATTTTTACTCATGACCTGAAATAAACTGCAGAAAACAATAAAACTTTTATAAATATTTATATAGCTAAGGAACATTTGCTGTCTTCACCTCAGATTACAAGAAACTTTAAAGTTTTCTCTTCAGTTCCACACACTAAGGTCACTACTGAAGATTCTATCAGGTGTGAAATAGCTCCATACTTCCTCATGCTCCCACACAGTATCTAGTTTTATGATGTTTGCTATCAATAGCCATTAACAGTTACTACAGTTGCATGCAATTAGACTCCTACACAAGCTGCAGAATTGGGGTCCTGAGTAGCTCAATTCTGTAGCAAATGTTTAAAGATCAAAGAACTTTCTCTGCTTTTATTACTGCAAAAGGGTGCATATGGCCCTATGTAGATACCTTCTCTTCGATACAATATATAAAAGCATGCTTATACATGTTCACAAAATTTTAGTGGTATAGAGAAAAATAAACATACCACCTCGTAAAACCAAATTCAGGCGGGGCGGGCGCGTAAAATAGCCACCCACGCTCACATTACATTAGATACACTGCCATCCCCGCATCACAAAGTCCCTGTTAATAAATGTCAGCATTAGCAATATTTCACACCTATTGTGCATAGCAATTTTCCTCTTCAAAGAACTTTAGAAACATTAAAGTTAAATCATACAGCTACCTATTACAGGTTAATTAACAACCTCTCTTTTGAAGTCTATACATAATCTGCTGTGCTTAATTTCAGAATCCCATGTAATTACACAAACACATTGTGCTCTTTCATCTCCTTGGTATGTCAATTTTACAAAACTTGAATCAGCATTGTGCAGTGCCTGGGATACAAGACTGAGAATCAGAAATTCCCAGGACTTGATTCTTCTCCCATTTCTGCCAGCATAAAGCCCCAGTTCTTCAGATATTTACAAAGAGTGATTTTGAACTCAAAGGATATGTCTACACTGCAGCTGAAAGCAAGCTTCCCAGCCCAAACACGCACACTGGCACTCCCAGGCCGGGGCTGTCCCTACCAATGTGCAAAACATGAAGCTGTATAGTACACCCCAAAATTTGCCATGCATATGTGGCAGTGCTGCTCCAATGGCCAGCCCCATCCCCCCGGCTAGCTCCCCTGCGTGGAAAAAACCCACTCTGCCCCATCCCCACTGCACCTGTTCCCTTAAGATCCCCACTCCACCTTGCCCTGCCTCATCTTGCCCCTGCTTCACCCCCTCCCTACACCCATTCCACTCCTTCCCCCAGCCACTTCCACAAGTGGTGTGGCTCCTTCTGCCGGTGAGTACAGGGGAGGCGGTTTCCTCTTCATCCAAGCTCCCTCCCTCAAACAATGTGGCTAGGAGTCGGGGGAGCAGAGCGGGCTGAGACTTGGTCACTTCACTTGCCACCACTGCCAGGGAGTATTGGGGCAGGCCTATCTCTTGCTGACTCTCTGCCCTGCTCCTGCCCCCCACAGCTCTGGGCTTTAGCCCCAGAGCCCTGGAGGGCAACACCGTCCCCCCCCTTGCAAAGGGGCCAGACCCCTCCTTCCCCACTCCATCCCTGCAAGGAGGTGCAGGTCCTCAGGCTCTGTAGTGCTCCAGAACTGGTAGGGAGCATGCTAACTAGCATGCTAAAATAGTAGCGTGGATATTGCTGTACCCTTGGAAGCTCATGCTAATCACTCAGACACAGATCCAGGAGATTGCATGGCTAGTCCAATCCTCTGCTAGGGCTGCAAAGCCCACACTGTTACGTTCATCCCACTAGCTTGAGCCTTGTTAGCACAAGCCTGTCTTCATAGACAGGAGGCTAGCTCCCAGACACATGTAATGGGACTACATGGGTGAGTAAAACTTGACTGAAATTTTCAAAGGAGCCCGAGGGAGCAAGGAACTCTGGGATTTGGGGCCCTTAACTCTCGAGTGCCTTCGAAAATCCCAGCCTGTGTGCAAGTGTGTGAAATAAGCAGTTAATGGAGTAGCACTCATGTGCCAGAAAAACCAAGCCACTACAGTGTAATCCTGGATTTACCACTGACTCACTGGGTAGCTCCCAGCAAGTCACTTCCCCTCTCTGCCTCTCAGGATTAGGACCTAAATTAGTGTTTGCATAATGTTTTGAAAATATAGAGTCCTACTCACTTTCTGCCTCTTATCCTTATGTATCTTTACTGATTTTTGACCCTCCAAACCCTGCAGAATGAGTTGTCCACACACACTTCCCCACCTCTCTGCATGTGCACACACAACCATGCTACCACTGTAGCACACGGCTATAGTTCAAGCCGTGCAAAACCCCGTCAGGCAGCCGGCTGGGACAAAGCTGTGCGTGTGTACGGGGAAACCCAACCTACGCTCGGCGAGCTGGTGTGAATCCTCTCCCTCACCTCTAGGTGACTCAAGCAACCTTCCCTCCGCGCCCTGCCACGGGAGGCGTTGGCCAAGCTCCCTGCAGGGGGGCTCTCTCCGCAGCCACGAAGCGGCGGAGGCGGCCGGTTCACCGCACGGTCTCTGGCTTTGCCCGCGGTGGTCTGGTCACGGCCAGACAAGGAGCCGCTCGCAGGGGCTGGACGTGCCCCCGACTGCTCGGCGGGCAGCTGCATCCCTACCCCGGCCCAAAGCAAAGCTGCGCTCCCAACTCAGGCTCCCGAAGCGCCCCTGAAGCGGGAGAAACCGGGCGCTGCTGGCCCCTCACCTCGTACCTTCCCGCTCCTCCGGGGCTCCCTGCCTCGGCGGCGCCGGCTCGGAGCTGCGGCCAGGGCTGGGGTTCTCAGGCGGCGGCCTACGGCGGGGGGCGGAGAGCTGCTGGGCGCTCCGGGAGAGAGCAGGGGCACTTTCCCCGGGCAGGCCGTTGGGAAGGGAAGGAGGCGTCGCCCGGTGGTGCTAGGCTCCCAGCACTTCCAGCGGCAGCAAAAAGGGGCTGACAGGCGAGACCGGGCACCGAAATCCCCCACGCCAGGCAAGTCCGAGAACTTCACACGGCAGGCGGGCGTTCCCGGTGCAGCTCTGCCCTCGGTTCAAGGAGAGAGTCCCGCCCCTTGGCTCCTGTGCACAGCCTCCCCCCCGTCTCTCTCTCCCATACACACAGATTCACGCCCCCTCTCTCTATTCCAGTGATTCTTAACCTCTTTGTCACTGTTAACCTCTTAAACTTAACCAATAAACCAAAATTACCCCTCCTCTTTTTTAAAATGGCAATAGACAAAAAGAAAATTACAAAAATTAATCATTTTTATTGTATTTCGTTTTCTCATACATGATGTTGAACAAAATTGAACACCTATTGTATTTTAAACTTATTACCTCCTGAAATATGCCAGATTGCTCCCTGAGAGGTAGTTACCCCCAGGTTAAGAACCACTGCTCTACTCTTTTCTCTTTCATTTCCCCCTCCCTTTCTCATTTTAGATCAGGTCTCTCTTCCCCCCCTTCTTTTTCAATCTCTGTCTTCTTCCCCTTCAACCCTTCCTCATGGTCTGTTACTGTTTCTCCCTGTCCTCCAGTCTCTCATTCTCTCTTCCTGTCTGCTTCATACTCTCCCTACAGTTTCTCTGACTAGTGACAGATGAACCAGGCCATCCATCTCTAGATAACCTCATGGGCTGAGCAAGGGACATCTCAGCTTGAAATTTACCTGATCCCTTACCCCAGCTATACTGCTCTCTCCTCCTGATCAGGTTTACCAACCTTTGTATCTGAGCTTCATCAACTTCAGCCATATCCCTTAGTGAGATATGAATGGCACAATACTTATAAGTTTGAGTTTGGAAAAGTAGATGAGCAATAAACTTAGCAGCTTGGGGTTCCTCTCTAATGACAATCTTTCTGCAGGTTCCTGTTGTCTGTACTGCAATATATCATACCTACTCCTCCACCCTACTCCATGCCATCTTAAGGATGTTTAGGATGAGTCTATTAATTGACTATCAGATAAGCAAACACTTATCCCATAGTCAAGCACTCTGAGTCCCCTGCTGACCCTAGGCTCCATTCAGGTGCTTCTGCTTTGAAATGCACAAGAGCCCCCGCTGGGGACTCTTGTACATTTCAAAGCTGGCACCCGCATACAGCCCAGAATCTGCAGGGCTTCCCGCTGGCCCCAGGCTGCATGAGAAGTTCCACATTCCTCCTTTGAAATGTACATTGCCCAGTAGGGGCTCTTGTACATTTCAAAGGAGGAATGTGGAAGTGCCTATACACTAGTTAAGTAGTTGATGGAAATCCATTAGAGACTGAAATTGTGCTAACAACTGTAAGAGTAAATTACAGGCATACAATATAATCTTTCAAAAAGGTGTGGTAGTTGTGAGCTATTCAGGCAAAAAAGATCATGACACGCAGAGGATTATTGTTCTGTGGATTATTGCATAACTCTTGTTTTATGAAACATACTTTTTGTAAAATGGGGCTTAGAAAGTAAATTGATTGGCTGAGGACAATTCCAAGTCATGAATCTAACTAGTGTATAAATCCTTAGGTGTATATGGTCCAGAAATATCAATAATACTTTTGCATTTATTTGTTATGCATTCATAGTCAAAGATGTGCCTTTATAAAAGATTAACTAAAGATAATGAGGAAAAAGCAAAATGGCCCAAAATAAATCCTAGAATGCCTAATATTCACCCAAAATCAAATACACGCCAATTCAAGTCTTACACTTAAACATGCAAGCATATTAAAAAGGAAATTGTGTCTTGCTCCTGCCTGGGCAAGTTATCCCAAAAGAGCTCTGGCATACAGTGTGGGAGGTTGCATTTCAGAGTTGCAGCTTCTGAACAGAGGTGCTGCTTGCAGTCCTCTGAAAACTGTACTGTTCAATAATCAGCATATCGAGATCTGATGATTTAAAACTACCGCAGTTGGAAAGATGGAGCAGCAGACATTTTCTTAGGTAGAGTGGAGATATATTATTTGGCATTGTTGATCAAAAGCAAAACCTGGAACTATATTCACTAAATTGGTTCACAGGCAAATAGCAAAACTTGTGAAACTTTGATTTTTGCATTTCCTGACTTTTTGTGATTTGAGTTGTACCTGTTCCTCTTGTATAAGTGTCTAATCTTTGAAATTTTCAGCAGTTACATATTTACTTGATTAAATGCATTTTAACATCCTTAATGTGCATATATTTTAATTTAATTTACATTAATTTAAAAGTTATTATGAAGTTGAATGACCAGGGTTCAAACAATTTTTTAGTTTAAAATGTGACAAAATACCTATATTTAATGTACTAATTTTTAAATAAATATTTCGTATGTATTTTTAAAAGTAAAATATGCTATTTACTAAATGGGTGAGTGTTGTTCAAACAACAATTCCTGCACTTGTCAGGTATTAAAGCATGTGGCTGAAAGTTTAGAAATGTTAAGCTGTGTCTTTTTGGTTTCATTGTAACTTTCATTCCAATACCACTTTTGTTAGCTATGTATTGCCCAGCAGTTATCCTGTGAAGAGACAGTGGTTTCCTTTTTAGCTAACAATTAGCCCACACCTTGGCTACAGTTTGCAAATGCTATAGTAAAGGGCAGTCAGCTTCCTCTCTGTTGCTAAGATAACTTTTTATGGGAACCAACCACAATATCAGGGCTGATTATTAAAGAACAAAGGATTAGTTCTTCTCTCCCTTATGCCAGTTTTATGCTGGTGTAACAGAAGTCAGTGGAGTTACTCCTAATTTGCAAGGATGAAATAAGGAGAGTCAGGCCTGCTGGGCTAGATTCATCCCTGCACTAGCACAGACATGAGGGCTACTTCAAAGTAGGAAGAAGAGATCCTCCGGAATAGGGCTTTATTCCGGAGGATCGGGCCAGTCTAGATGCTTTTTTCCGGCTTATCTACAAGCCGGAAAAAAGCGGCGGACATCTTTATTTAAATCCCGCGGGGGATATTTAAATCCCCTGCAGATTTCCCTATTCTGAAGTTTAAAATTAGCATGCCCCTTTCGGAAAAGGAGCCAGTGTAGACGTAGCCGAGCCGTTAAGAGAGGGAATGTATTCCAGTAATACTGGGAATTGGTTCAACACCATGCGCAGACTGGAAAAGCTCCAAAGACTGCTCTAACTTGCATTCCCGCTCTTCAGTGGCTTCTGTCAGATATCAGGAATTCAGAAATACCAGGATACAAGTCTGCTCCAAATCCACCCTTGCTCTGTACTTATGCCTCTGCTGCACAGGCGAAACTGTCCAAGAATGCCCTCTCCACTGGAGTGGGTGCTACAGAGATGGCACAGAGCCTGCTCTACGCACAGTATACCAACCCCCTCACCAGCGTGGAGATGGTATACAGGCAGTCCCTGGGTTACGTACAAGATAGGGACTGTAGGTTTGTTCTTAAGTTGAATCTGTATGTGAGTCGGAACTGGCGTCCAGATTCAGCCGCTGCTGAAACTGATCAGTTTCAACAGCTGCCGAAT